CACACACACACACACACACACACACACACACAGAGTCTCTTCACCTGGCTTGCCAGCCCCCACGCTGGGAGAATGTGACCTATGACAGCCAATCACGTTGCCTGCTGCTCCCAGTCCTAAGCAGCCAGCAGAGGGAGAGCAGAGGGAACAGCAAAAAACCCAGACATTTGCTTTTATTTAAAAAACCTGCCCAGACACAGCAAAGGGGCCCAAAAAAGAGGGCATGTCCAGGGAAAACCCAGACATGTGGCAAACCTACATTTATATGTTACAGTGCTGGTTTCCTTGTAAAGGTGCCTGGCAGTGGGAATGGGGGACTGTCATGGTAGGGACAAGCTAAACCTGCTCTTATCTGCTTAGTTTAGCTACTTATCTTCTAACACCTCACCTGCCTCTTCTCATCTCACCACACTCTTCAAAAGAGCTGGAAACACCACAGAATGCCCCAACATCCTGGCTGAGAGTTACTGTTCTGCCTGCTACCATCAGCAAAGCTTTACTGGTACCAATAGTGCAACAGTGGGAAACTTTAAGGAAAAAATCAAGCACAGACACAACCTATGTCTCATAATAATGTTTAAAATTGTTGGCAAACATGGCTTTGCCACAGTTTGCATAAATAAAAGAATACAGAAATGCCCCAACAGTGTTAAAAAATGATGATTAGTATAAAGCCTAATCAAACTAACAGTTGTAAAAAGAATTTAAAAATTCCAACCAGTACCCTCCCCATGCCCGCACAAGATAGGGAAACCCTGTTTTAACCATAGTGAATATCCTTGTATCTCCACAAGCGTTTTTCCTTTAACTTCTCCTAGCAGCATTACCACTAGCATAACTTCACCACTGGTCAGACTGGTCCAGCTATCAGCATTTTAAACACTGCATAGCAAAATCTTCCTCAGAAAAGCTACACATGAGCTATTGCTGCTGTAAACAGAATTTAAATGAGAAAAGGCTTGCCTCTTATTTACTAGGCAGAGCACTATGAATCATGAATAGCTAGCTGTAAAGCTCCATTTGTATACAAAGTTCCAAAGTCATTACTTAATTTATTTGGGGGGAAAAATATAACTCCTAGAAAAAACATAACAAGCAAACAATAAAAAGTGTTTGTTATTAAAGATGCATAAAAATCCAAATTAGCGCAACAAAAGGATGCTTTATGTACACGTGAAACAAGATATACTAAATAGGCTGGCTGGAAAACAATAATTCCATTTTGCGAAATATTTCAGTGTTTCAAAATCTGTTTTTGATCCTCTGTGAAACACAACAAGAACTTTCAAAAGTTTTAATGAAATAGAGACTTCGTCTCATATCCCGGGTCTAAGAAATCTTCATAACAAAACTATTTTAAACTGGATATATATCCAGGAAGCATTTCAGCTTGTTGAAACCATTTTTTAAGTGAGAAAAAGGTTTCAGCAATAATATTCTGACCGTTCTAATATGGAACGCTTGTCCGCACGGCATAGTTATGCCAATATAAACTAAAATTTCATATAAAACATAAAATAAAAAATTTAGAGTTAGGCCCCTGCCACGTTACACTTAAGTTGTGATTAACCAGTTAAGCAGCGATTACCTGGATCAGCTAACAGAGCTCCTAACGCATAAGCACACGGTGCTCCCCCATGGCTGGGAGCCTGGATCAGCTGAGGGGAGTTTGATACTTGCTGTTATAGGGGGAGCCTTGGATTGTGATCCTGGGCTCCCCCTGCACCCGCAGTAAGGCATGATGGGATCTAATGCTTGATCCTACAGTCTCACCTTCTGCCGTGCATAAGTGGCAAGGCAAGAAATTCTGCATCAGATCCCATTATGCCTTTACCTGAACATCTGGCTGGGGTCTTAATAAAACTACACTTAGTACTGTATGTTAACTTTGTAATCCAGATGATTTATGACAGTCTTTTCTTATGACTAACCTAAGCAGAGAAGTTTTATAAGTTGTACTGGTATAATTACATGGGTATAGTTAAACCAATAGACAGTGGATGATCTTATTCTGAAATAAGAGGTTTTTCCTATTTTCCACTTTATCTTAAATTGCTTTGAAAGCGAGCAATGCAAGATAAGCTATAAAAGATGCACTGTACAAAGAGAAACCCCACTGCTTGAGATATCTGAAATCAGACTGAACAGTGCTTCAGAAGAAAACAGTACAGAAAGCAATCTTACATTCTTTGTAATTGAAGGGAAACTGACTAAATTACTTGAAGGGCCTTACACAGGTTCCTGAAGAGAGTTTCAGTCTCACTGGAAAGGAAAGGAACATTCACCATGTCAGCAACAACGAGCAATGTCAGCTCTCTCTTCCTTTTCCACTCCTTATTTTTACCCAGACTTGTTTACATTTGTTTAAAGGAATGGCTGTTCAAGTATTACTTTTTTTTACTGGATTCAAGCTATACTGCTGTCATGATGCTTTGCTCATGATAATTAGAAATACTGAATCAAACTCTGCTTTGGTTGCTCCAAAGAATATTGACTGCTTGAGCTAAATAAAATGAGAAATCATCTCTGCCACAGTGTGCAGGGTATTTTCCTAAGGAACTGTTCTCACCTTCCTCTTGTGGTTCTCTGCAAAACTTTTGTTCTAGCTAGGCAGTAGGATTTCCCTTCCCATCTCCTGCTATGTCGTTCAATCCCGTCTGTAGAACATGGGACCTGGAACTGGACTTCACTGAAAATTCCATAGACATCTTGCACAAGGAGACATAATCTGCAAAACAGTGCGTCACGTTCCATTTAGCAAACTACTCACTGGCACAAAAACATGTAGCAAATTTCAGAGACATGAGCCTTTGATGTTTCAAGGGGATCTAGCATGTAGTAAAGTCATAAAGCAAAACAACAGCACATCATTAAAGAACTCACCAAATATATTTGCAATAGATAATTGATAACAGAAACTCCAGGGCACGACTGAAAAAGGGAGCAAAGACCTTATTTGGGGGATTAAAAAGCAGGAACCATTAAGCAATGCTTTGTTTCTATGTCCATAAAGAGGAATGAAATTTGCTTGAAGCAGGGATACATTTTGCAGCAGTGATAGCACAGATAACACAAAGGTGGCATAAACAAACTAGTAAATCTTGATGTTTGATATTATTTTTAATATCTTTAAATTTTGGAGACAGCCCAAAAAGTGACACACAGAACACAAGTAAAAAACAAGGGCCTTTCAGCCAGTAAGTTTAATATTTGTTGTGAAGAAACCCTTGGAAACTATCTTCAGGGATTTGGTAAGAGAACCCCTAGACAAGAGTTTGATTAAGGACAGCCTACATGCAACCAGGACTGGGAAGTCTTGCTTAACCAACCTGATGGAGTTCTTTGAAGATATTCATTGTCATGACAGATAAGGCAAAGGCAGGGAAGGTTGTATTTTTAGATTTTTAAAAGGCATTTCACAAGGCTCCACACCAGATTAGCAGCTAATAGCATGAGTCATGAAACAGTGGGTGAACAAAAGCTGCTACATACAATACTGGCTTAGTGCCCCATGAAGAGATGGGTAAGCACAAAGTTTCTCAAAAGGGAAAGGAATTATGGGATACTTCTGAGGACGTTAGTGTCTTCCATTTACAGGGACACCAAAGTCATTTTGAGAGAAAACTGCAGGCTGCAGTAGATGGTAGAATTAAGACAGTTTGAGAGGGCAGATATATGGACCCACATCACCTTTTCACTTCTCTGCAGAGGAATGGTTACGTTTAGTACTCCTGTAACAATTAGGCACTATGTGAAGTATTAATAGTAATGCTCATAATGGACTTCTGCTGTTTTATGTCAGCAAGGGATCATAACACGGGAATGGGGAGAGCCTTGTGTCAGTGGTATGTCTTTTGCCATCCAAAAATTTAAGCAAGTTATGTGACTTTGAAAAAAATGACAATCTACATACCCATATTTATTGAAATATAAGACAAGATTTTTTTCCCCAATCAGCAAGGAGAAAAGGCTCCTCGTCTTCTATTCACATACAAGAAAGCCTCATTAAATACACTGTCTATCATTAAACTGCTGCCAAAAGCAGCATGTGCTCAGTAATAGAAACCAACTATAAAGCTGATTAAATGCAGCCAACACTGACCATGATTATAAAACACATGGCCCATATTGACAAACATACTAATGTTAACCTACCACAAGAATAAGTTATAGTACAACCCATCTGAATAAGCTATATAGTAATGCCCTTGTGTTCAGTCCCCCTCAGCGCTGAATCAAATCGTGATGAGCAACTACACTGAATACATTTCAACTTCTTTACTCCCACAGCTGAGCTGCAACTTTCTTTCCCATTTCCAATTATTCCTGTTTCTTCACCAACCTTAAATGTCAGCAAACTTCACTAAACAGGGCCCCAAACAGTTCACCCAAAACCCCTCTGCTGGTTCCTCTCTCAACCTGTCGCATATGTGCCCCAGCCCTCCATGAGGTGGAGCTGAACCAGGATGCCCTGCACCTCATCTGCATATAAATTTTTGGAGTATCCCAACACTCCTCACAAGGACTCCCACTTTCAGTCATAAGTGGGAGGCTAATTAGCAGATGGATCCTTTGTGGGGGTGTATCTGGAGTACACACACATACTGAGCAGTACAGAGCTATGGGATCACCATGGCTTGAAGTGCTTCTGACTCTGCTGGGGCCTAGGCCAGCAAACACTATGGTAAATCATGAGTCTTTTGGCTTTGGATTGTTATTATGTATGGTCTGTACTGAGAAATACCTACTTGGTAGGGGAAATACCATGACTACCCACATGGTTTTCCTAGTTCTAGGAGAAAACTACTTTCTTGGCACGAGCTAGTACCTTGGCTGAGGTATAGGAATAATTAGCTTCCCACTTTCACTTTTGATAGGATGATATTGGCTTTACGCCAATTTTATGGAAATAGGAGACTTTTCCCTAGCTTGCTTCTGTGGCCATATGGGTAAGGGCAAGTCAAACTTGGGGGCATCTGAACCCTGACTCTCCAGGCTGGGGCCTGCACATAGGATGCCTGCCAAAAGATTTAGAAGCATCTGAAGCCCCAGGTGGTGGTGGAAGATGTTTGCCAGTAGTAGGGCCACTTATGGTTCTTGAATGACTGATGAAATTGAAATTGATTTGGCTGATTTGACTTGGGAAACAAAAACATTTCCTTAAAAAAAAAAAAGTTTGTACTACAAAGTATGAAAGTGCTGCGTAAAAGTGTTTATGGAGTCCTTGTGCTAAAACTTGCAGCACTTTCGAAAAAGGTAAAATGCATCAATTCTGAATGAACTAATTTACTACAGGCAGGTTTATTTCAGTCTTCAAAATCAGAATTTTCAAATTTTCCCCTAAGAATTTCTTAGGGTGATATCTTTATTGGACCAAATACGTAATTGGGATAAAGTTAGACAAACTTTTGAAAGTAAGATGTTTTTCGCCAGGTCTAGAGAGGTGTAAAAGGGAAGGTCTAGAGACACAGAGAGAGAAAGATCCGATAAGGAGTTTGGCTATGGGGAAGAACTGGACTGGGTATGAGGACAGGTCAAGGGGCCTGATTTGGTGCACACAGGACCAGAGTTGAGGCAGTGGGCTTGATCTGGTACACATGGGGCTGGTGCTGGGATCAGGGCAATGGTTCTGATCTGGCGTTGGTAGGCTGGGGCTTAAGGGCCTAATCGGACACGAGCAGGACCATGCCACAGTATGGCATGCAGGACTAGCATGTCAGATTGTGCCCTGGCTGCATGCATACCAGATCAGGCCCATGGACTGGATCCAGCCCATAGACTCACCCTGTATTACTCATCTGACCCATGGGGCCAAAAGTTTGGCCATCATTGAGTTACTGCATTAGCTCAAGGGGCAAAAGTCAGTGCACTAGATAGAAAAGTTCCTGCCAATGATCTATGTAGCATAACTAGGATTCCATGCGTGGAATTTGTTTTCTTTTTAGGTTTTTTTTTTCAAAAACCCAAGAAAGTACATATTTAAAAGGTATGTTAAAATCATATTACTAGGGCTGCAAAGATAAGCACTCAAAATAGGAATGCCAGAATTAAGGGCCCCTGTACAACCTAGCTTGGCTTTTTTGTGAGTATGCTTTATGAAATAGTCTTTATTTACTTCAGCAAGATGCAATTTTTTCCACAGGACTGCTGCCTTATTCTATCCACATTTTGAGTTCTTGCAAGCTGCCAAACATGTCACACTGAAAAATAGTTACTGCACCTAAGGACTAACTATTCTTCACAGGACATATACTTAATATGTGAGTCAGTAATTCACAAAGGGTCTGGAGAAGTCTCCAGCAGAGGGCTGGACAGAACCCAAACTCCTGTCTATCCACTTCTGTCAGTGTTACTACAGGCCACTAAAACATAAATTTGTTTCCTTTCTTTTCCTTCCTTGGTCAGAAGTACTGCTGCTTGCACTAATTCAGACTCTGATTGTCTACCAAAATGCGTGACCACCAACAGCTCACATGCCACCCATTTTATCCTCTTGCCATTTTTGGCCTTTTGGGTTTCAAATTAACATTTGACCATGCTGTGCAGAATGGGATGCCTCAAATCATAGCTCAGCATGTGTGCTACTCTATCACTAAACTGAAATACAAGAGGAAAAGGTATAAGATAGACATAATTCCTGCCACAATTGAGTCCCTGTCACCTATACAGGCAACCCCCACTTAACTGGTTCCTGAAAAACTGAGCATGAAGTGAAACGAGCGTTAAGCAGAAACAAAAGTATTTGACGACCCAAGATGGCAACCACAGTGTTTTTAATGACCCAAGATGGTGACCGTGAGCGTTATAGTGAAACTTTCTGAGTGTTATGTGAAATTAGGTATCAATTTAAAATGAGCGTTATAGTGAAACAGCGTTAAGTGGGGGTTGTCTGTGTCTCTTGGCATTATCCTTCTCCAGATGCATGTAGGATTCAAGCCCTGGGTCCCAGCAAGCCACAGTTTAGATGCACAGATCAGGTGTAGCTATCTTTACTCTGCCACTCTTTTAAGGGAACATCAGAAAGGCCTTGGTGCAGGCCTATGAGCACCATTCTCTAAAGATTTCCAAACCAACTGATAAAAAGGCCTAACTAAAAAGGACTCCTACTTCATTTCCTACCCCTGTGGCTCCATAGACCATGATTTCATAGATTTCTAGGTCAGAAGGGACCTATTAGTTCACTGAGTCTGACCTCCTGCTCTGGGTAGGGAAGAGCACTGGGGGTCAAGTAACCCCAGCCAGGTGCTTGTCTAATCTCCTTTTAAACACCTCCAAGGTAGGGGAAAGCACCACTGCCCTTGGAAGCCCATTCCATATTTTGGCAACCCTCACCGTAAAGAATATCTTCCTGATGTTCAATCTAAATCTACTCTCCTTCAGTTTATGGCCATTGTTTCTAGTAACCCCAAAGGGCGCCCTGGTAAACAGAGTATCCCCTATTCCTTGCTGACCCCTGCCCCAGTGATTTATCCTCATGGAGCCTTCATGAAATCCAGAAGCACCCTGAGCTACATACCAAAAACAAAGTTTGGTTTCTCAAAAAATAACATTTTCTGTCTCCTATTGGACCTACTACTACCATCCCTTAAACTTGCTTACCACTTTAAGCATGGCCTACCTCAGCTAATATCTCAGACTCTTGGTCATGTGGGTGTTTAACTGGACATTTGATATCTTCAGTCTTGAGGTAGACTTCACTGCTTATAAATCAGCCTTAGGACAGCTGGA